AAAGGAAATAATAAAGCTCAGAGTAAAAATAAAATAAAAAATAGAAAAACTATATAGAAAATCAGTGAAACCAGGATATGGTTTCTTGAGGAGAGCTATAAAATTAATTAACTTTTGGTCAGACTGATCAGGAAGAAAAATGGAGAAGACACAAATTACCAGTATCAAGAGTGAAAAGAGTGACAACCGAGTCTATAGATATTAAAAGGATAATGCTATTGTTGTTGTTTGGTGCTGTCAGGTTGGTTCTGACTTATAGCAACCCTGTGTACAACAGAATGAAACACTGCCCAGTCCTGGGCCATCCTCACAGTTGTTCATGTGTTTCAGCCCATTGTTGCAGCCACTGTGTCAATCCGTCTCGTTGAGGATCTTCCTCTTATTTGCTGGCCCTCTACTTTACTGAGCATGATGTCCCTCTTCCGGGACTGGTCCCTCCTAATAACATGTCCAAAGGATAATATAGGAATATTATTAATGACTTGATGCCATTAAATTATTTAACTTAGATAAAATGGACAATTTCCTTGAAAGACATAACCTCTAAAGCTCATTCAAGAAGAAATAAATAACTTGAATAGCCCTAAAAACTGAATTTGTAGTTTATAAGTATCTCACAAAAACAACTTCAACTTTTACCTGAGGCCTGGTGATCTACTTCCTTAGAGATTGTAGCCAAAAAACCCTATGGAGCAGTCCTACTCTGTAATGCATGGGGTTGCTATGAGTTGGAACTGACTTGGCAATATATATATTTTTGTTTTGGCACATACGTATCTTACTAGGTGTCTTAGTCATCTAGTGCTGCTATAACAGAAATACCGCCAGTGGATGGCTTTAACAAAGAGAAGTTTATTCTCTCACAGTCCTTTTGGCTACAAGTCCAAATTCAGGGCATCATCTCCAAGGGAACGCTTTCTCTGTCAACTCTGGAGGAAGGTCTGTGTCATCAATCTTCCCTTGGTCTGGGAGCTTCTCTGTGAAGGAACCTCAGGTCCAAAGGAAGTGCTCTGCTCCCAGCACTGCTTTCTTGGTGGTATGAGGTTCCCATGTGTCTCTGCTCGCTTCTCTGTTTTATATCTCAAAAGAGATTGGCTTAAGACACTATCCAATCTTGTATACCTCATCAGTATAACTGCCACTAATCCATCTTATTACATCATAGTGATTGAATTTACAACACATAAAGAAATCACATCAGATTACAAAATGGTACACAGTCATACAATACCGGGAATCAAGTTGACAGATATTTTGGGAGGACACAATTCAATCCATGACACTCCACTCTTTGGCCCCCCAAAATTCATGTCTTTGCAACATGCAAAACATATTCACCCCACCATATCATAGCAAAAGTCTTAACTCCAACTCCAAAATCCAAAAATTTTTCTTCTTCATCTGTGAAATCTAGAATACAAGTTATCTGCTTCCAAAGGTACAATGGCAGAACAGGCACAAGCTAGACTTTCCATTACAAATAGGAGAAACTAGAAGAAAAGAAGGGATAACAGGCACCAAGCAAGCCAGCAGAACACATTAAATTAGCCCTCAAGCCTTGAAAATAATCCTCTGTTCTCTAAGACCATTCATACAGTACCCCTGCCCTCCAGACTCTAGGTATTGACCACAGTCTCCGGATTCTGAGTGGAGGCCTCTTGGCCTTAAGCTTCAGCTCCGCCTTCCAGGCCTACTGGGACAGCAACTCTGCTCCCTTGGCTTTAGGTGCACTATTCTCCTAGTCCATAGGAGTGACAATTCCACCCTTAGAAACACCAGAGGCCATGGCTCCACCCTTTGAAGCCCCAGAGGTCATGGCCATACCTTTTTGAGACTGAGGCAGCTTGGCTTTTTGTGTTCCTTGTCTTCAGCTTCTGCTTCCTGTGGCCTCTCGGCCCTCAGGGCTCACGCCGGCATCTGCCCTGCTGGGGCAAGTGTTCCAAAGCTCTTGTAGCTCCACTGATAAGCGCCCGGTGGCACCCCACTCCACCAGGAAGCCTCCTGCACATAGGTACTCAGCTCTCTTTCTCCATGGTTTGGCTCCAGCGCCGTCTCGTGCAGGTCTCCTGGTTCTGCTGCTGCTGGTTCTCTGCCTTGCCACTGCTCTGCTGCTGCAGGTTCTCTGCTGCTTCTGGTCCTCTGCTGCTGCCACTCCTCTATCCATTCAGTTTCAAAACCGCTTCCACATTTTAGGTATCTGTTAGAGCAGCACCCCACTCCTGGTACCAAATGTCTTAGGCTGAGTTCTCTGGAGAAGCAAAATCAGTAAAGTGTATAAATATATATAGAGAGATTTATATCAAGGAAACAGCTCATGTGATTGTAGAGGCTAGAATGTCCAAAGTCCGTGGATCAGGATAGAGGCCTCTCCCAATTCACGCAGCCGCAGAAGCTGGCGAGCTCAAGATCGGCAGGTCAGAGAGCAGGGCTCCGCTCACAGGGAGTGAAGATTGATGAATCCCAAGTTCAGCAGATAAGCTGACAGCTCAAGTCCCAAGAACCAGAGGTCAGATGAACAGGAGGCAGCCGCAGGATCCAGAGCAAGCAAAAAGCCAGAACGTCTGCTTATATTCAGATGCAGGCCACACTCCCTTTCCACTTATGGCTACTCACAGCATATTCAATCATGGGAGTGATCACATATAAACACTGAGATTTATGGCCCAGCCAAGTTGACACACAATCTTAACCATCACACCAGGGCAGCCAGGGTACTTCTCCTGTTCACCAGGTCTACATAGTGGGAAGTGTGATGGTCTGTGGAATGTCCCTGAGAAAAAGTCCCTGAGGACTATATTGTAACAGAAAGCATAACAGTCAACATAATTCTGGGGCTATGAAGGTGTATTCCTGTCTCTCCCACGTAAAAGTAAACTCCTTACTGATAGGAATTTAAAAGAATGCTTTTGCCATATCAATAACTGCATACCAAGTGCCAAAATGTGTGTTGTTCTGTCTTAACAATACGATCACATTTGGCACATCAGTCACAATTGGGCTGTTATGTGGTTAAATGTCCTGTCATGCACCATGATCTACTACGTTTTTTGCAGAGGAAACAGGTGAACTGAAGTGGGATATGATGGGCTCCACTCTGTATCCTTTAAGTTTTGAGATCAGTGCTAATCCTTGCGATTCCACTATTTTGGCTAGGGGTGACAATTATCAGGGTCTCCACTTTGCTTTTTCTACCTCAATAGATTTTATTCCACAGGCCAGGTAACTAATGAGGGTTCTGCCAGTTGCTAAGTGCATCCATCCTAATATGTACATGGGGACTGGAGAAATAACCACAAGTTGGGTCCATGAAGCCAATGGACCCACTATGAGGTTGACTTGGATAGGACTCTTTGTCTCCTGGCCTCCCTAAGAATCTATTGTGATGCTTATGATGGTATTTTGAGTTTCTTTATACAAGTGTTACTCAGACCCTCTATTCAACAGGCCTTGAATGGGCTGGTATTCCCCCTTTTTAGGTACTCTGACAAAGGCTCCCTTTGGGGAGGGATTGGGTGCTATTTGTTGACCATAATTGTGGCATGTAGACTCTTTTAATCAATGGGCTCTGGGTTCATGAAATGGCTTAGATATAAAAACTAAGTGAGAAATCTCAAGTTTCCTTTGTGGTGGTAGATACAAGCTTTCTTTCACCAGCTCTTGATTTTTTCCAGTTATACCAGTCAAAGAACACCCTGTATAGCTCCCTATGTATCTCACTTCCTGCAACACTATGGTTTGTTAGCTGTTACTATAGATCTCCTCAAGTTAAAGTATCCTAATTGCCTCTCTGCCTTGGCTGCTCATTATTGTAATTACATCCAGCTTGCCTCCATTGGTTATGTAATACTATAATGGCTTTTCCATTCTAGAATCCTGTCAGCTCCCTTCATACTAAGAAGCCAATTTACTTGGTACCATCTCCTAGTGTCAACTCCATTTCACAGAGAACACCCAAAAGTGAGGTTCTCAGAAACGCCAGTACCCCCATTTAGAGGTCTGACTAGGGGTGAAGGTAGGGTGCAGTGCCCTGGGCATCGCATGCATGCCCTGGGAGCAGCTTGGGGCGGGACACCAATTAGCAATTTCTATTGGCCATCACAGTTTCCATTGCCAGCTGTGAGAGATCTTTCAGCAATTTAACACTAATTGCCCTAGGCACTATTTTCCTTACTTAGGAACCTGCCCCTACACCAATGCATTTCTTAGTGCTTTGTTGAAGGGCCTCTCCTCTGGGCTTACCTGGGTATATTATTCCAACAATGGAATTTCATTACTGAAGGGAGGAATGGTGTGTTGGAGGCTCAATTTTGGCACCAGCTGGAGACAAAAATTTTCAAGGCTGAGTTATTGTCCTGAAAGGTATAGTGTATACTCTGAACCAGCTATCAATATACAGGACTCTTTTCCCCGTAACCAGAGTACTATGGGTCAGGGAACCTGTGAAGCAAGACTGACAGATCCAGCTAGTAAAGAAAAAACAATAAGCCCTATTTAGAGTCAAACAGTTTATTACTTACATAGACAGCAAAATCAAGAACAAAAGTGCCAGCTCCCCAAATCCTTTGCTGTACAGGGCAGCACCCAAAACCAAAGGGTCTGGATGACATGATGATGTAACATGAATCATGCCACACACTCCTGTTGCATTTAAGCAGTTTCATAGCCTGCAGTGGAGCCCTGGCGGCACAGTGGTTAAGAGCTCAGGCTGCTCACCGAAAGATCGACAGTTTGAAGCCACCAGCTGCTCCTTGGAAACCCTATGGGGCAGTTCTACTCTTTCCTATATGGTAATTATGAGTCGAAATTGACTGGACAGCAATGGGTTTGTTTGTTTTTTTGGGGGTTTTGTGAAAGTATACACAGCAAAACAGGTTCCAATTCAACCATTTCTACACATAATGTTCAGTGACGTTAGTTACATATTATGTAACATTCTCATTATTTCCTTTCTAGTTTTTCCATTCCCATTAACTTAGTCTTACTGTCCACCAACCTTCTCATCCATGCTTTAGAGTAACCGTTGCCCATTTGGTTCTAAATTTTATTTGGAAAAAATAAATGAACAGGAATAGTACCAAAAAATGTTAGAAAAATAAGTGTGCTATGATGGTGGGCTGTGATGATGCCAGAAGAATGAATAAATCTGTCTTGGAGGCAGTATAGCCAGAATGCTCCTTAGAAGCGAGGATGGTGAGATCATGCTTGATAAAGTAGAGTGTCAGCAAAAAAAAAAGAGGAGGACCTCCAATGAGATGGACTGATACAGTAGTTGCAACAATGAGATCAAATCAGGGGTGTGTTATCCAATAAGCAAGATAAGCATAGTGCTTACCTTGCTTCCCAGATCATCTGTAGTGAAATGGTTCATTACAGATTAATAAGTAAGGACAAGTAAGCCTGTGCTTACCTGTGCTTACTGGATCATCTGCCCCTGTCAGGGATTGTAAATTTAAAAAGAGGGTTTGATTCTGTAGCAAGGTTCTGTGGAGTTTGAAGGGAAACAGATGCCAGCCATACCTAGAAGCAGAATCTTTGATGTGGTGAAAAAATGTGAAGTTGTTCACTACAGATGATCTGGTAAGAAGGTAAGCACCGGACTTACTTTGCTTATTAGATAATCTGTCCCTGCCTCAAGCATGCCTACCACTGTGAGGATGGTGCAGGACTGGGCAATGTTTCGTTCTGTTGAACATAAATCGGAACCAACTCAAGGCACCGAACAACAACATGGTGATGTTTGCACTGGAAGAGGTAGAGTGATCAGTGGGACCAGCGGCAAGTTATCCAGTGGCTGTTGGAGGGTCTCAAGGGGGCGATAGAAATCAGTGACTATAACAGAGAAATGGGCCCAAACCAGAAACTGCTCTCATTCGTTGTTTTCCTGAATGGCAAAAATGTCTTTGAAATTCTTCTCAAATATGGCCTCTAATTGAAGTCCCAGCCTGGCAAACTTACGGTCCTGAAAAAGCAAGGACAAAAACAATAATGGTCATTGTCAATGAGCTTAGACTCCCCTGTTCTAGATCATCTGGAGCCTCAGTCCTAAATGTTAAGTGAGAATTAATCCAATTAAGAGTTTATGCTCCCTGATAGCTTGACTGTTTCTTTTTACCTGGAAGTCAGAGCAGCAATATATTGCAGTTAATTCCTCATCAGAAATTTATTTATTGAATTAATTTTTAAATATTTGAATTATTGGATTTTTAAATGCAGCACACATTATTTGTAACAATATGTTATTACAGAAGTGTCTAAAGCAAATTATTGGTGTCTCCTTTTTCGTTCACTCTTACCCCTTTAGTTAATTCTTGTCTACTTTTTGATACACCACTAGGAAAGTCAGATGTAAAGAAATCCACGATTTTGAAACTTGAGAAATTTAATTTGGTACCTTCCTTTAGAGAAAAGGGGCACTTTAAAGGGCTATTCTACTTCCAATAGACGGGAATAGGTCAATCAGTATGCTGAGCAAATAATCCAAGAAGCTGAACTACATGAAGAAGAATGCTGCATCAAGATTGGAGGGAAGACTCGTTAACAACCTGTGACATGCAGATGACACAACCTTGCTTGCTAAAATCAAAGAGGACTTGAAGCACTTACTGATGAAGATCAAAGAAAACAGCCTTCAGTATGGATTACACCTCAGCATAAAGAAAACAAAAATTCTCACACTGGACCAATATTGAAGTTGTCAAGGATTTCATTTTACTTGGATCCACAATCAATGCCTATGGAAGCAGCAGTCAAGAAATCAGACAATGTATTGCATTAGGTAAATGTGCTGCAAAAGACCTCTTTAAAGTGTTAAAAAGCAAAGATGTCACTTTGAGGACTAAGGTGCGCCTGACCCAAGCTATGGTGTTTTCAATTGCCTCATATGCATGTGAAAGCTGGACAGTGAATAAGGAAGACCCAAGAAGAATTGATGCTTTTGAATTATGGTGTTGGGGAAGAATACTGAATATACCATGGACTGCCAGAAGAATGAACAAATCTATCCTGGAAGAAGTACAGCCGGAACGCTCCTTAGAAGCGAGGATGGCGAGAGATTTCGTCTCATATACTTTGGACATGTTATCAAGAGGGACTAGTCCCCGGAGAAGGACATCATGCTTTGTAAAGTAGAGGGTCAGCGAAAAAGAGGACGACCCTCAACAAGATGGATTGACACAGAGGCTGCAACAATGGGCTCAAACATAACAATGATTGTGAGGATGGCGCAGGACCCGGCAATGTTTGCATAGGGTCGCTATGAGTTGGAACCGACTCAACCGCACCTAACAACAAAAATTCTGTGTGGGAGGAAATCGACTGTTTAGAAATGAATAAATTCTCTAGGCTCCTAGGGCAATGTTTGCAACAACACCTTCTGGTTCATTATTAATTTCCCTCCATGGATTGGAAGGCCTTTAGAAGACTTCTAGAAGTTTTACTTGTGTGGGCTTGCCACATGATGAGGAAAATTGTATAATTTTCCCAACACAAGAAGATGAAAGGTAAAGTGACTTAACTGAAAGAGAAAGAAATGGAAGCAGGGAAAGGCACTTGCCCTGTAATATGCCATGTGGTTCTGAAAGATGAGGCGCATGTCTTGCACAAACTCATCCACTCGGTGGTAACGCTCCTCCTTCAGCCTCTCCTTGATTTTGTTCAGCCACATGGGTTCCCTTGGGCCCTGGAAACCCTGTTCACTCTGTTGACGAAAACGTCAAAGAGAGGGCTATTAGCATAGTTCAATGTCTACCTTCTACAGATTTTCCACCAATAAGGCAAAGACAATAGCAGCTTATGTCCATGGGATTCAGATGACAAATTCCACAAATACTAGGTTCAGGGTTTCTTGTTGTTACTTACATAATATGGTTCAAAGGCAAAAAAGGGGCTTTTTGTCCAGCAACAGACCTTCAAGAGGAGGAACTCACATTTCTAGAAAAAGATGAAGCAGGCTTTAAGTGAAAAGTAACTTGGAGAGAATGAGCCCATACCCACGCCCGGACAGAACCCATGACTCAAATCAGTCATCCAGAAGTTTGCAACACACATGTAATGAGGAGGTTCTTTGGAATGTGGGTTTTGGTGCTATGTCACTGTGATCAAAGCACAGCCGGGGACAGGAGGTTGCCTTGGGCCCTGTTCCTCTAGCCCTCGGCAAGGTTCTGCCACGTCTCTCACGTAAAGAGAAAAGAGGAGGTTGCAGGTTCACATTTTGACTCACCAGCTTTTCCTCAGGCAGCATCTGCCTCCTCAGGATCTCAGTTTCCTGATGACATGGTTGGCTTTCCAGGGATCTCTGCTGAATAGCCTTTATCCTGCAGAATATGCAACTCCATGGATCCCTGAGAGGTCAGGCATAACGTGAGCAGAGGGCAGGTTTTCTGTGAAACAGCCACTGTTCCTGTAGCTGCTAATGTCTTCTGTTCAAGAATGGCTAGTGGGCTCCACCTTGTAGCCAACATCTCTCTTGGAGGCCTAACGCCCTATGTGGGGTCAATAACCAAAGACACCCTCTCCCATCAATGGTAGTAGCAGGGTGTCAGTCTATTGAGTGAGGTACCATGATAAGTGATGAACTCTAATTTACCTTAAAACCTGGGGGTCCCATCTGAGCCATGACGAGCTTGATGATGAGTCTTGCTTATTAGAATTGTGTACTAGAAATTGGACCTTAACCACTGGGATCTTGGACCTCCACGAGCCCAATCAGACCATGGTAAAAATCAGGAAACCAGCTGTTTCTCAACTTCCCTGAATATGCACAAGCTATAGGCATCCTCTCCTCTAGCTTTGCCACATCTATGACTAGAATTTGTGCTGCAGAAACTTATTGGAAAGGAAATCTACAGACAGAGTGTCAGATATCTTCCATTTACCTGTAGATTCATTCTCCACTTGCTACCATGCTCTCTGCCCTGGGAGGCTCTTGATAATCAGGTGGACATGCTGACACATCCTGTAGAAGCCAGCGAGCCTTTCTCCCTGGACACCCCAGTGTTTGCTCAAAATGTCCATGGTGCAGAGTTGGGGTTCAACAAAGAAGCTAATCTGTCTTCTGCCACTGCAGATGGCCCAACTGGCCTAACGCAGAGGTTTATGGGAAACCCCTGCTATGGCATCATTCCCTGGGAGTTACCGGGTAGTAGGATTACATTAGACTCCTCCCATTATGGAGGGGGCAGTGTTCTGTTTTCGTAGGGATGGACAGACTCCTGGTACAGATTGTTCTCCTGGCCACAAGATTCTGCATCACCACCGCTTACAGATGCTTTCTCAGTCACCATGGTATCCTGCACACCATCACCTCTGACCAATGACACATTTTACAACAAAGGAAGTGCAGCAGTGGGCTCACACTCACAGAATTCATGGGTCTTACCATGCACCCTTGACCCAGAATCAGCTGGCTTGATAATGGCCATCTGAAGGCACACTCCAGCAGCTTTATCAGCTTTGTGATGTTCCCAGGAGATGGTGTATGCTTTAAACCAGTAGCCAATGAATGAGGTCATTGCCCCATCAGAATGGGAACCAAGTGGGGGCAGTGGGGGTGACACCTCTTACTATTCCACCTAGTAACCCCTGGAAGAGTTTTAGCTTTCCATTCATCTGCTGCTGCCAGCACCATTGAATATCTCTGGATCACACTTCTGGATCTTGACACTTAAGGACCCTGCTCCCTCAGCATTAAGAAATGTACAACAGAGACAGAAACTCTGCAGGGTGAGTGTGCATGGTGGAAGGAGGAGTCCCTAATGAGGAGGAGAGAGAGAGCAGGCCGTGTCTCACTAACCTCTCAGCTTCCACGGGTTGGATGTGACAGTCCTCATGAAATGATTTTGGACAAGTGTCACAGCAGAACAGTTTTCCTCCATCCTGGCATACCTCACACCGATTTGAGTTTTCTGGCTAGAAGGTGAGATAATGTAGACATCACTCGGATCAGTGAGTCCCCAGGAGGTCTGCACAATGGTACTCTAGAACACATTGCTTTTGTGTATACTAAGATGGACACTTCAAAATTTACCTCCCTAAAATATTAAGTAACAGACCAAGTGGAGATTTCAGAAGAAGACATTTGGGTCTGCAGCGAAGGTAAGAGGCAGGGGCTGTGTGTCTGGCCAGAAGAGTGTTTTCTTTATGAAAACAGAGATTGTAACTCAGAAATGCTAGTTATAAAAAAAAGGTGAAAATTTATGGATAATCTGAGAAATTTTTTATTCCTCTGGTAAAAACCTGGCTCTCAAGTACAGTGTCTTATCTAGTTGTCAACATTCCATTGTCTAAATTGATTTGTGGATGGGCGATTTACTGAGAATTTTATATGATGGAACAAATGTCTGAGAAATCACTGCATTCTGCTTTCTTGGCCATAGTCTCCCATAGTTGAAGAAAGGGCCTGTGGAGGGGTTCCTGAACTGGAGGACCCTTGGACCTGCGGCAGTGCCTTTGGGATAGAAGAACCATGGGTACAGATGACCAGGTGGGTGCCAGGTGGGAGCTAGTTGGCTCTGGGAGGCAGGGGGAAGATTCCCCATGACTCAGCTTGGCATGTAAGGTGTGGAGGTGCCAGTATCTCATCTCTGAATGGCCAAGGAGTGTGGTGACAGCAGATACTGGGACTGAAGGACTGGTCCCTACTTTCGTTTTCATGAACTAGTCCCTATGTCCATGAGAGACCTAGTGGCATTCTTGTTATATAAAAGGAAGGTGGAGAGGCCTGCTGCTACAAAGATAAAGACCCTAATTAATAATACTATCTTACTAGCCACAGCATCATTTGAGTTCAAAGTCAGTGTCGTTCTTGGGCCCAATGATCTGACGCGAACTGGGACATGCCTCAATTTGTAAGTTCTCATCCTCGGTAAATTTAATACGAAAAGAAAAGACATAGAAGTCACGAGTATGAGAAAATTCTAGGCTGCAAGATGTAGCTTGGCCATGTGCTCCCTTTCAGTAGGAAAACTTGAGGAGTGGTCTGTTATGGAGATCCTTGGACACGTCCCAAAATGGGGCCTGAGGTTGTCCTGGCACAGGGTCACGCAACCATTTTTCCTTTTCATCATAACAGATAAAACTCACAGATGCTGACTGCTCTTCTTAGGCTGCTGGATCAAGATTTCTGAACCCTCATCCTATAAAATAGACTGGATGGGGCATGTGGGGTCACAGTGGGTGGGGCATGTAGGGTCACAGTGGACAGGGCATGTGGGGTCACAGTGGATGGGGCACATGGGTCACAGTGGACAGGGCATGTGGGTCACAGTGGATGGGGCATGTGGGGTCACAGTAGATGGGGCATATGGGGTCACAGTGGATGGGGCATGTGGGTCACAGTGGATGGGACATGTGGAGTCATAGTGGATGGGGCATGTGGGGTCACAGCAGATGGGGCATGTGGGGTCACAGCGGTTTGTACATCATCGGGCATCTGTCAAGCAGTTTGAGTAAAGATGCCCATGATTTGCTAAGTATTGATGGTTTCAGTGCTAAGCAGCTCAGTACCCTGATGGCTCCCTCGAGATCAGCTATAAGAATTCCATAAGGACCCACTTCCCCTGCTTCCTTTCCTCAGGCTCCTTACAGGCCCTCCCCCTACACCCTGAACTTCACCAGCCTGTTCTTCTGGCTGATGCTGATGGCCATCTCGAGCTCTGCTGCACCTTGGAGTAGATGTTTAGGACTTTCCCTTCCTTCCCAACCTGCCTTCTTTAGAATGCTATTATCCCCTCAAATTTTCTCCTTACCCTGAGTCAGCTGGCCAGCCCTGCTCATTGCTACTTCAAGACCCCAATGGCCTGGAGACCACAATGGTCTAGAACTCTACTCCCATACCCACTCTGGAGGAAAAATGAGGAAACGGGAAGATTTCCACTGAAACAAATGGAAGAGACACCCAATCCAGAACCGTCTATCTGGTGTGGGGATATAGGTGATATTCTTTGCCAACCACACAGAGCAACATACTCTGATTAAGTGTAGGCATGCTTCAAGGAAAAGCAATAATGTTACAGATAACATACCCAGGGGAACTCTGGGGCTATTCTGGGTTAAGGCTGAAGTTAGTACTTACGTAAGCGTCAGTTAAGTCACTGTTGGGGGACTCCACTCTTCTCTGTTGAAAAGACAGAAAGACTGACAATACTGAATGTGATTTTTACATTAACTACGTATTTGAGCAGGCTTCTTTATTCAAGGGATTTATGCCATAGCCCTCTTTGTTTCCTATCTGCTTTTATGGCCTATACATCTATTTGGAGAATAAAAAGCACTAAATTATGTGTCAGTGTCAGTTTGGTGGGGCCTAAAGGCCTTTCCCCAAGGGAAAAGTTTTTCCAGGTCAGCAGCCTCTCCCCTAGGGTACAGCTGCCCATCACTCTATTCCCAAAAGTGTCATCTCCATAAAGGAATAGAAACTTCCCTTGAAGAACACATGTGTGTATGAGTGTGTGTGCATAACTGTGAGTGCGTGTGCATGTATGTGACTATATGAGTGTGTGTGTATGTGTGCATGAGTGTGAGCGGGTGTAAGCATGTGTGCACGTGTGTGTGTATGAGTGAGTGTGAATGTGGGTGTGAGTGATGCGTGAGTGTGTCTGTGCGTGTGTAGTGGGAAGGAGAGGAAAGATATAAAAGAAAGGGAGAGAATGTGGTTTTTGTTGCTTGCTTCACTGAATGACACATGGTTATATATGCATCCCAAGTGACCACGGGCTATTTCTCCGGAAACTTTTGCTCCATTCTTATTTTATTAAAGCTAGAATACAGAAACGTCCGTGAAAAAAAAAAAATCAGTGTTCAAGTTGCATTTGCTATGGCAATAGTTTTTACAGGTCTTGTACATTTCAAAATCATGCATGCTTTTCCAACTCTAGCACCATTTTTACTGTTTAACTGTGAGGCAGTCTGGCACCCAGATGTTTTTATAAGATCAGTTCTGTCTCCTTATCTGTTTTTAAGGATTGTTCCCACCTCTATCTCAAGTGTTTTAATGTTCAAAGAAGTCCTGGCCTTGTATACCATGTATGTTCCAAAGCAGCAACTGTAAAAACGCCACATTGTAAAATGGAGATGTATCATAATTGGTTAATATAATAAGGCTACAGTTACGGAAAATCGACAATATCATCAATGAGACACTGGTAGAAGATCATGTGATAATCACCTTTTTTCTTGCTGTTGGTGGGTTTGGTAGAAATCCCCTCTGAAAGAGAAAAGAGATTAATGCTATGATGTGTCTTTGTTTCCATTGAGTTTGGTTTTCCAACTGCCTTCCAGATATTTCTACCTGGATGTCCCACTGTCAACTCAAGTTTAAGGTGTCTTCACAGAACATAACCTCCCTCTCCATATCTGTGCCATGCTACCTCTCTGACCCACGGTCAGCTTTCAGAACTCTTTTGCTTTCCTTATAAAGTCTTGCCAGGTTTTCCTTCACAAACTTTTCTACACCCACTGCTTCCTTTCTATTCCCCAAGTGCTGCGCTAGCTGGGTCCTTACAGCCTCATATACCAGGGCTATTCCATTGGCTACAGCCTCATATACCAGGGCTATTCCATTGGCTACAGCCTCATATACGAGGGCTATTCCATCGGCACACACCTAGTGGGTGACTGATAGGTGTCAGACACCATCAGTGGCCTTAGGCACAGAAGGGTGTCCAGGTCCTTGGGGAGACAATAAAGAAAGTAGGCATGGGATGAATCAGGATGGTAGAATGTGAACTGTGCTCTCATAGCGTGCTCTGGGAACCAGAGATGGGTGAGTTTGCAAGGACTGCAGATCGAGGGTGATGTTTGAGCTGGGCCTGGTAGCTTCAGTGTGGGTGGATCAGGCAGAAACGTGGGGAAGGCCATTTACGGTTGCATGGCTTCAAGTGCTCACCCTCCAGTCTTGCATCGTCTGACCGGATGAATCCTTCTAAAGCACTGTTGGAACTATGTCATTCTCAAACTCAAAGCTTCAGTGGGGCTCATGATTAAAGGCAGGGTTCAGACTCTTTGTCTGGCTTCAATACCTCTGCAACCAGAACAGCCTATGTCTTAAGCGTTATTACCCACAACTTCTTGACAAATTATGGGGTGGATTTTTATGCCATCCTTTTTATGTAGAATGCCCTGTTCCTACATTTTTGCCGGTCAGAACTGTTCTTCTTTTAAGACTCAGCTCGGTGTAAACTGTTCCATGAAGCAGTCCTCAACCTCAAAGCCAGTGACAACCTTTCCCTCCCTGAGCCACCGTGTCAAGTGCTGCCTCTTTCAGCATTGACACGCGGACAGTCCTGTGGTTATGAGCGTGCAGGCTCTTTCCCGGGAGGGGTGGCACTCTGGGACTGGGGCTCACAACTTGTACAAACTTTTGGCTTTAGATGTAGCTCAATAAATATTTGCTGAGCAAAGAGCTAATCCTTTATTGATAGAGTGCCACAGGGAAGGGCCCTCTGGGAATGTGATTGAAAGAACTCTGGATTGGGAATTGGAAGATTAAGGATCATCTTCTACGATCCCTGCTCTGTCCATATCTGGGGCTTGATATGACAACCAAAGAAGGAGGTATTTTAAAATGCAATTGATTTATATTCTCTTTCAAGAATGACTTTGAGGTGGCTTATCAAAAAAAAAAAAAAAAAAAGAGTCCCTGGGTGGTGCAAATAATTATGCACTTGGCTGCTAACTGAAAGGTTGGAGGTTCAAGTCTACCCAGAGATGCCTTGGAAGAAAAGCCTGGTGATCTACTTCTGTAAAATCAGCCATTGAAAATCCTATGGAGCATAGTTCTACTCTGGCACACACGGGGTTGCCACGAGTCAGAATCAACTAGATGGCAACTGTGAATACTAGGAGAAATAATGTCTACATATTCTGTAATCCAGAAGACACCAGTACCAGGTATTGTTTTCAGATTTATAATTCCACCACGTTCCTTTTAAAATTGACCCCAAACATTTAAGACCAATTTAAATTACTTTTCTGTGACCAAATTCTGCAGGTTATTAGTGGCAGAGTCAAGGCCACAATTTATTGTCCTGCTTTCAAAAGGATGAGAGTTCAATGCACGTAGAGGATGAAGCCATAAAATAAGCCAGTCATGATAATGCCAGGTGGAATGTTGGTAATAACATAAGGATTGTGGCCTGAGGAGTCCCTGGCTGGCGCAAGTGGTTAACACGCTCAGCAGCTGACCCAAAGGTTGGAGGTTCAAGTCCACCCAAAGTCACCTCAGAAAAAAAGCCCGGTTGCCTAGTTCTGAAAAATCAGCCATTGAAAACCCTATGGAGCACAGTTGTACTCTGCCACACGGGGTCGCCGTGAGTCGGAGTGGGCTCAATGGCAGTTGGGTTGTGACCTGAGAAAGGGGGTCAGGACCATTTCCTGCACTGTGAGAAGTTTTCCTATAGCTTGGTGTGGGTGAGTCATGACAGCTAAGCCCCTGCTTTATGCCTCTCGTCACGGGAATGAGTACCTTCAGCAGCCACGACAGGGTCTCCCCGCCGCAGCGCAAACTCGTCTTCCAGTTCTTTGCTTTCTCGTAGTTGCCTGCAATTTCAAATTCCCTCGGGGTGAACCATCTGCCGTCCTCGCTCTGTATACACTTAATCCAGGAGCCTGTAAGGCCAAGACAAGCTGAGCCCCTTCTGGCCCCAGGGAGGGGCCCGGACTGCCTCCCCCCACACTGGGTCCGGAGCCACCCAGTTCGGGCTCAGGGTCAGTGGCAGGAGAGTCTGCGTTTCCCTCCCAGACTCGCTGATCCCCCACACTTAGCCTCGCTACCTGTGCACACTTGATTGACCTTCATGCAATGAGAAGGAGAATAATTGCCACCCAAATTTACCTTTTCAAAATATCTTACAATTTTTAAGGGAGAAAAAATATGAGTGCTTCTAAACAATGGGCAGGAGTCCCCGGGGGGGGGGTACAAATGCCTAAGGCGTTCGGCTGCTAACCAAAAGGTTGGAGGGTCAAGTCTACCCAGAGGTGCCTCAGAAGAAAGGCCTGGCAATCTACGTCTGAAAACTCAGCAACTGAAAATCCTATGGAGTGCAGTTCTACTCTGACATACATGGAAGTGCCATGAGTCAGAGTCAATACTGAGGGCAGGCTTGGTAAACAATGAGCAGTATTCTTTCCTCTCCCTTCTCTAAGCCCTGAATAGAGCCAGGCTGAGGTTCAGGAAGCCGAAGAGGCACACAGCCCTCCACCGGGCTCTTGTGTTCCCAGGTGGGTGTGGAAGCTGTCCCCACACCCACACCTGCGTCCTCTGGGCCACATTTTCCACCCAGCTAATGGTAACCAAGTCTTTTTCATATTTTGAACTGATGGATATTTCATGTTAGAAGTAATCATGGAAATGTGATCAAGTGGAAAAAATTATATATATACAATATAGTCATAGGGCAAGTGTTTATACTTGTAGGTGCCAAAGAATTATGTTTTGGGAGGGGGGCTCAGTCATAACACATGGACATTTCCACTGTGCTTTACCAATAGTAATTTACAATTCTATCTCATGTTTTCTTATAACAATACAGTGAGGCAAGTTTTATTATTATTTCCATTTTGTAGAGGAGTACGTTCGGGATCAGAAGGGCTGAGAAACTTGTCCCAGCTGAAACAGACACTCCTGGTTTAGCTGAAACTTGAATCCAGGTCTTTTGATTCTACATCATATGCTATTTTACCTAGCATAAGGCCATATAGATGTTATGGAGGGCGGGGCTGTGAAGACTTGTTGAATTTCTCAAATGTGTACATTTTCCAGCAAGATATTAAAGTGCCTGCCCCTGTATTGGATGCTGTATGGGCATCTCAGATTACACTTTGCATAGCAAGTCCCCTGGGTGTCCCTGTGGACCGTTTCCTCGGTGGGAAGGGGAGATGGCCCCCTAGGCTAATGTTTCATGAATTAGGAAGGTGTGGAAATACTGGTATCTTTCCTCCCTTCTGCCTGGGGTGCTGTGCAGAAAAGCAACCACAGAGCAGGTCTGAGACTGCTGTCCTTCGAAAGGTCTGCTGCAAGGTTGGCCCTTAGCTGGCATCCGAGAGCTTGGATTTCGGCAAGCTCCCACCGTTCTCAGAATTGACAGGGATGCTTACTGTGCCCAGACCGTACAAATAATATGGTTTATGCTGAACACCTGTTTCTTTCTGGGAGTCTGAAATTTTGGGATGACTTAGGCAGAGGGTTGTTACAAGTTGGAATCGACTCAATGGCAGCTAAGAACGACAACAGGTAGAACGAAGGTGCCTGGTGCCTGCACGACTGACCCCTAAAGAAAACCCTGGACTCCTAGGTTCAGGCCAGCTTCCCTGGTAGACAGCATTTCACACGTGTTGTCACAATTCGTTGCTGGAGGAATTTAGCGCGTCCTGTGTGACTCCACTGGAGGACTCTTGGAAGTTTGTGTCTGCTTTCTCTGAACTTCACCCTCTGTTCCTTTTCCCTTTGCCAATCTTGCTTTGTATCCTTTGACTTTAATAAATCACAACCATGAGTACAATAGATGCTGAGTCCCATAAGTCCCCCGGGCAAATCACTGAACCTGAAAGGGTCATGGGAACCCCTGACACAGGCACCTGCTCCCGCAAAACATGTGATTGACACGCATAGCTTCCAGTTTAAAAGAGTAGAAGACCAAGAAACACACCTTGTTTCAGCATGTCCTTATGCAGAATCCCCTTCACCTTGCCACAGGTCACAGGAAGTTTAGGAGATTGAAAATTCATATTTTTGTCTCTGGGAAATGTTGGGCCTGAAAGAGAACATGTTTTCATTCTATCTTCCTCTATAACCATGCACTGTCTCTCCCCAGACCTTTTGAGATCCTTCTTTTATAATTTAGAATGTATTTGGGGTGATTTAGCCTATGAATTAGTTACATGTCAAGATCTTGCTTTTATGGATGCATATAGGTAATGTCTTTCCCCATTCCTAGCCTCCAAAATCATATGCAAAAGCCTCTCATGGAAGGATCTGGATTCCCAAGCGAGCTGGCCATCACCACCTATTGCAAAATGATGGTCCTCCTGATGTTTGGAAGGGAGAGTTCTAGTCATACTACTGCTTTGCAGTTGTGTGGATGGAGAACAAAGTCTCAAACTTTAGTTTTATCTTCTCATTTGAGGCATTTTCTGGAGGGGCAGATAGCAGGCAACAGCGGGGTATCTAACGGGGCCAGTGTCTGTGTTCCCTCCTTGCTCTCTGCTTTCTTCCCTTCTCCTTCATGTAGACTTTCTCTGTGGCTGAGAGGGAAGCTTGGGGGGCTCTAGAATAAACTGCAAATTGCTCATGGGGAGGGCCTCTGGATGCACTCTGAGTGGATCAGAAGGGCTGGGAATGCAACCCACCAAAGGTATCGACGGTCTTAAGGTGAACATCAGCAGCAAGAGCTGATGTTGAGGGGCCCACTGCCTCCACGTGCCATGCTAAATCCACAAGCCCCATTCTCTCTGGGATGGGGTGGATGGGTGGTCCATGGTCCTTCCAGAGCCCAGTTCAGAGATACATAGAATATTAGAGCTGGGGTGGGGGCCTAGCAGGCAGTCAGTCTAATTCACTCTCCTCATTTACAGATGAAGAGATTGAGTCAAAAAAGCCAAATGACAAGCCAAAGTCACACAGTCAACGGAGGTATAGGAATGAGAACACGGGTCTTGTATTGTCACCCAGGACTCTCCCTTGGGACAACCTGTGGCTCTGTACATGTGCAAGAGAAGGGTCAGCTAAATGTCATGTGAGTGATCCACTTTATATGTTTTTCTTCATATTTCCCTCCTCAAAACTATCAGTTCAGTAAAGGGAGCACTGTATAGGCCCAAGGAGGCTTGGGCTCTTCTAAGAGATCAACTGGCAAACCTGCAGGGTGGGTGTTCACACCACCTTTCGGCCATGTTGTCAGAATTCCCTGATGCTGATGAGTATCCTAACACTTGGTACTGGCTCCGGATCACAGTGAAGGAAACTGATTTATCACTCATAACTCAACATATAGGATAAGAATTTAGATGTTTAACTGTTAAAAGTATATTAATTATTTTTTTTACGTCTTCGTCTTCTTCTTCTTTTCAAAGGTCCAGTGTTGACTCTCTTTATCCCTGAGAAAGTAGAAAAAATAACACAAAGTTCTCTTGTTATAACTTTGCATTACAAATAATAGTATTTTACAAAAATAGCATTTAAATGTAATTCTTCAGGACCTGGTCTAATACTTGGAGAAAAAATCAGATGCTTAGATATTTACTATTTGGTCCTTTTCTGTAAATATTTAGGTTTTGTGGGCCACAGTCTCTGTTTCAACTACTCAGTTCTGCTGCAGTAGCGTGAAAACAACCACAATCTCTAAATGAGTGGATGTGTGACTGTGTTCCAATAAAACTAACCCAACAGCGGGCAGGCTGGATTTGGCCTGCGGGCCATAGTTTGCAGACTCCTGGTCTAGACTTCAGTTACAAAGCTGATATTTAACTGAGATTCAACTTATATTTCTTCCACTAATTCACCACTCTTTAGTTTGTCATACTGTGGTGGCTTGTGTGTTGCTGTGATTTTGGAAGCTATGCCACTGGTATTTCAAGTACCAGCAGGGTCACCATCACCAGTGGTGTACAGGTTTCAAAAGAGCTTCTGGACTAAGACAGACTAGGAAGAAGGACCTGGAGATCTACTTGTAAACAAATTGGCCAGCAGAACACTGTCTGGTACAGTACCAGAGGATGAGTCCTTCAGATTGGAAGGCACTCAAAATATGACCGGGGAAGAGTTGCCTCCTCAAAGTAGAGTCAACCTTATTGACATGGATTGAGTACAGCTTTCAGGACCTTCATTTGCTGATGTGGCATGAATCAAAATGAGAGGAAAAAGCTGCAAACATCCTTTAATAATAGGAACGTGGAATGTATGAAGTATGAATCTAGGAAAATTGGAAGTCATTAAAAATGAAATGGAATACATAAAGATTGATATCCTTGGCATTAATGAGCTGAAATGGACTGGTGTTCGAATAGGAAAAATAATATGGTCTACTATGCTGGCAATGACAAATTGAAGAGGAATGGCAACACATTCATTGACAAAAAGAACATCTCAAGATCCATCCTGAAGTACAGCGCTGCCAGTGATAGGATAATTTCCATACCACTACAAGGAAGATCCTGGCGGTGTAGTGATTAAGAGCTATGGCTGTTAACCAAAAGGTCGGCAGTTCAAATCCACCAGGCACTCTTTGGAAACTCTATGGGGCAGTTCTACTCTGTACTATAGGGTCGCTATCGACTTGGCAGTAATGGGTAACAAGGAAGATCAGTTAATATGACTATTATTTAAATTTATGCACCAACCACTAATGCCAAAGATGAGGAAATTGAAGATTTTGACCAATTTATGCATTCTGAAATTGATCAAACATGGAAACAAGAGGCATTAATAATTACTGGTGATTGGAATGCAAAAGTTGGAAACAAAGAAGAAGGAATGGTAGTTGGAAAATATGGCCTTGGTGATAGAAACTATGTCAGAGATAGTATGTGTCATGGATTGAATTATGTCCCCCCAAAAATGTGTGTATCAATTTGGCTGGGCCATGATCCCCGGTATTGTGTGGTTTTCCCATGTGTGGTAAATCCTGCCTCTATGATGTTAATGAGGGAGGATGGGCGGCAGTTGTGTTAGTGAGGCAGGACTCAATTTACAAGACTGGATTGTGTCCTGAGGCAATCTCTTGAGATATAAAAGACAGAAGTGAGCAGTGAGACAGGGGGACCTCATACCACCGAGAAAGCAGTGCCAGGAGCAGAGCGCATCCTTTGGACCTGGGGTCCCCGCGTGTAGAAGCTCCTAGTCCAGGGAAACACTGATGACAAGGCCAACAGAGAGAGAAAGCCTTCCTCTGGAGCTGACACCCTGAATTTGGACTTTCAGCCTACCTTACTGTGAGGAAATAAACTTCTCTTTGTTAAAGCCATCCACTTGTGGTATTTCTGTTATAGCAGCACTAGATGATTAAGACAGTATGATAGAAATTTGCAAGACCAACGACTTATTCATTGCAAGTACCTTTTTTCAACAACATAAACGGGGAACACGTGGACCTCACCAGATAGAATATACAGGAATGAAATCAACTACATCTGTGGAAAGAGACCATGGAGAAGTTCAATATCATCAGTCAGAACAAGGCCAGGGGCTGACTACGGAACAGACCATCAAGTGCTCATATGCAAGTTTAAGTTGAAGCTGAAGAAAATTAAAACAGGACCATGAAGGGGGAAATAGGCTTTGTGAGTCCATATAACGGCTGCCCTCATGCTTTCCGTTACTTCACTGCTGTTTCTGTTAGTTCATTGTTGTTTTCCAAGCCCTTGTTATGTGACCTTGCCGAGGTAGTCTTATGTAACTCTCTGGCTCGGAGCCACCTTTGTGGCATTGAACTCTGATGACTGAAGAGCAGACGAGTTGTGGGATGACATCAAGGACATCATACATGAAGAAAGCAAAGGGTCGTTAAAAAGACAGGAAAGAAAGAAAAGACCAAAATGGATGCCAGAAGAGACTCTGAAACTTGCTTTTGAAAGTAGAGCAGCTAATGAACAAATCTGTCTTGGAAGAAGTACAGCCAGACTGCTCCTTAGAAGCAAGGATGGCGACACTTTGTCTCACATACTTTGGACATGTTATCAGGAGGGATCAGTCCCTGGAGAAGGACATCATGCTTGGTAAAGTAGAGGGTCAGCGAAAAAGAGGAAGAGCCTCAAGGAGATGGATTGACACAGTGGCTGCAACAATGGTTTCAAGCAAAACAATGATTGTGAGGATGGTGCAGGACCGGGCAGTATTTTGTTCTGTTGTACACAGGGTCGCTATGAGTCGCAACTGACCTGACGGCAGCTAACAACGACACTATAAGGTGTTATTGTCTTAGTCATGCAGTGCTGCTATAACAGAAACACCACAAGTAGATGGCTTTAACAAAGAGAAATTTATTTTCTCACAGTCTAGTAGGGTAGAAGGCCAAATTCAGGCGTCAGCTCCAGGGGAAGGCTTTCTCTCTCTGTTGGCCTTCTTGTCAATCTTCCCCTGGACTAGGAGCTTCCCCACGCAGGGATCCCTGGTCCAAAAGGGCGCACCCTGCTCCTGGCACTGCTTTCTTGGTGGTATGAGGTCCCCACTCTCTGCTCATTTCCCCTTCCTTTTATCTCTTGTAAGATAAAAGGTGGTACAGGCCACACTCCAGGGAAACTCCCTTTACATTGGATCAGGGATGTGACCTTAGTAAGGATGTTACAATCCCACCCTAATCCTCTTTAACATAAAATTACAATCACAAAATGAAGGACAACCACACAATACCGGGAATCATGGCCTAATCAAGTTGACACATATTTTGGGGGGACACAATTCAATCCATGACAGTTACCTTGAGAAAGTTTATCATTATATTATGGAGGCACACTAGGAGAAGAGATTACTGAGCTTACATAAGAGAGTCGTAGGCTTGACTATTGATACTACAGGCTTGAGAGAAACAAGTAAAATGGGGGGAAATGTAGACCTCAAGGAAGTAGATAAAGCTTTCTTGACAATCCTTGCTTGTCTCTCAGAGAAAATTTGCTCTAGATTGATCAGTCTCCAAGAACGCGACTGGGCCAGGTATGGTAGTGGGTGTGGCTTCCAGGAATAAAAGGCCATCTACCCATGTGTGGCCCTCTGTAGGACTGTCCTCTCCTGTCACTCATGATGCTGACATGGTAAGTGTACCCAGAAAACTGGCCTCTGACTCTGTCTCTTCCCTTTGGAGAGGGTCATGGCCACCATCCCATGAGAGGACACCCAGGCATACTGCTCTATCTGCTCTCTCTTCTCTCATAAAGATGTCAGACTAGAGCCCCAGCCCTGGCTCTGCTTGGGTTTGCTGAGCAATAGCCATTATTTACAAACATACATTCTCTTGATCTCCATCTCTCTCTGTTTAAGTCCCTCTGGGACTAATGGGTGGGTTAGATTCACCTTTCATCAAGCCTATTGAGGACAAATGACTTCAGGGAAAGAAAATAGAAGTTCACTGTACTCAACCCCAGTTGTCAGCAAGGGCAAGTTTGGGTTGAAGACCAGATCACCTATAATACAGCGCTGCTGAGCTTTCCTTTACAACGGTTCTTTGTGTGCTACCTGCTCCAGCACCTCTGGGGTTATCCTAAGCCCAGGAATTAACAGAGAGAGAAAGCCTTCCCCTGGAGCTGACACCCTGAATTTGGACTTTCAGCCTACCTTACTGTGAGGAAATAAACTTCTCTTTGTTAAAGCCATCCACTTGTGGTATTTCTGTTATAGCAGCACTAGATGATTAAGACAGTATGATAGAAATTTGCAAGACCAACGACTTATTCATTGCAAGTACCTTTTTTCAACAACATAAACGGTGACTATACACGTGGACCTCTTAGCTCTTCATGGGTCCACTCACCTTAAAACCAAAAAAACCAAACCTGTTGCCACTGAGTCAGTTTATACTCGTGGTGACCCCATGCGTCTCAGAGTAGAACTGCTCTACAGGGTTTTCGTGGCTGTAATCTTTAAGGAAGCAGATCACCAGGCTTTTCTTCTGCAGTGCTACTGGGTGAGTTCGAACTGCCAACCTTTAGGTTAGTAGTTTAGTGCAAAGTGTTTGCACCACCCTGGGACCCCTATCAGCCTTAATAACACTAAAACCTGACCTTAAATTCTAATACATAATAATGTGGTCAGAAAACACTTAAAAATTATGTAAAATACTTTTGTTAATACTTATGACTAACGATTCTGGGCAAAAAAAAAAAAAAAAAGTAGCAGGATGTCGAAGTGACTTTTCTGTTGCCCCAGGGGATCAGCAGAAGTCCCAGCGTCCAAGAACAATGCAACAGGAGCCTGGTGTTCCTCTATCCTAAAGCAATGCGCTAGACCTGCTGCACAGATAGTGAGGCTGGTTCTGCCGGCCTTAGCCCTCCCCTACCTCCGGGCTACATGAGCGAGGCTACATTTCTTTAGAGGGAATTGTCAGACCCTTCCCCTCAAGCCAAGTGGGAAGGCTTTAAGAGATACACCCAGAACATGGACCTCTATCCTTGGGAATAGCAGGGAAAGAGAGACTATCAGATTCACCCTTGAGAAGTGTGAAGGTGAAGATCATGGTTAGAGGGGAATGTGTTGGCAAAAAGGGCTGAGTTGGAAGCCAGTGAGGGAATCAATGAAGCAGCATGATTCCATTGACCCACGGGGTACCCAGTAGATGGAAACTGGACTGGATGCTCTTGAGAGATACTCTGTGCAAAAGGATTGCCTGGAGTGGCGAGGTAACCTCAGCAGAGGTGTGGCCCTTACGGCAGGGTTGTCCAATGTCTTCATTCCCTAGCAAGTTGGCCACCATCAACTACTGAGAGATGGCAAAACATACTTCTTCCACTGTACTAACAAGAGACTTCTAGAAAATCATTTCTTTGCAGTTTTGTGGCCACGCAAAGTCTTAGACTGTAATTTTGTCTATTATTTGACACATTTGTCTGTAAATCTGAGCCCAGGACTGGCTGGGTGGACAGCTAGATCACAGTGGGGCAGCCCACCGGGAGATGGTCTCTGTCCCCTGCTCACTTGCTGCTTGCTTCAGTTTTCCTCCACAGCAGCTTTCTTCTGGCTGAAAGGGATACTCAGTGGCCTTCTAGAATAATCTACAGATTGCTGAGGGAGGAGGCTTTGTACCTCAGAATCTCCATGTAGGGGACTGAAGACCTGATTCCATAGAAATGGGTGTAAAAGCTCTTTTAAAAAGAACTTCAGGATGATGAGCTGCTATTCCTGCCTTTCCAGCCAGTGACATTGGGGAATCTGTTAAAAACATTCCATGGGGCTCCCTGTTCAAGATGCAGGAGAACAGCTGTCCAGGGCCTTCCCGAGTTCAGTGGGAGTCACTCAGAATGGATGCTGGGATGGGCCTCAGAGGGCAGTCAGTCTAAATCACTTTATTTCACTTCACAGATGAGTAATAAAGAACCTAGGTGGCACAAGTGGTTTGCAATAGGCTGCTAACCCAAAGGTTGGCAGTTTGAATCCACCCAGAGGCTCTGTGGAAGATAGGCCTGGCAATCTACTTCCATAAAGATTACAGCCAAGAAAACCCTATGGAGCAGTTCTATTCCATCACATGGGGTCACTGTGATGCGGAATCAACTCGACAATAACACAGATGAGTAAACTAAGACAGAAGAGGTGAAGCAACAGGTCCAAGTCCATTTAATCACCACTGGGTGGTGGGCCAAAGCACGAGCGGTGAAATAACTTGTGTGTTATGGGATTTATTATGGTTATGACTATTTTCTGCCTGAAAAGTCATGGGTGCAGTGGAGGCAGCAGTGCCCTGGCCCCTGGACACCAGGGTCTGGCTGCAGATCCATCACCAAATTGCTTGTTGATGGTACTACCATCTTTCTCTCCCTGACACATTTTGGAAATTGTCTAAATCTGATACATTTCTCAACAGTTAGTACAGCTACAGAAAGCAATTAAGGAAACAGGTTTATTACTAAAAGCACAGAAAAAAGTATGAGCATTTAGATGTTTAGTTATTGAAAGCGTGTTCATCTTTTCTTCTTTACCTCTTGGTCGGCGTCTTTTCAGTGGGACTCTGCTTCTCTGAGCTAAGTGTTTTCTAGGTCTGCGTCTCATTCTCCCTGAGACAACATAAAAATAGATACTGTCAAAAAGTTGCATTGCATATAATAATGCTTTTCAAAAATTCCATTTAAATTTAACTTATCAAGAACCTAATGCATAAAGAAAAATATACAACCTACAGCATTGCAATTACCAAGCATTTTACAGTTAACCTAACTTCATCCTAGATTTCATTTTCTTATATCCTCACATTAACCCAGAAAAATAGTAATAATTTAAGACAGCATCATTTATATCCCAAGGAACACTTTGGGAAAAATAATAATGAGAGCTAATATTTAAGTACTTATTAAATGCTAGACATTATTTTGAGATCTTTACATCTACTAACTTATTGATGAGATAAAGACTTTTACTATCCCCATTACTAATGAAGAAGAAAGAAATGGTAAATATACAGCTATATGTATATATCCAAAAACCAGTTGCCCTGGAGTTGATTCTGATTAATGGTGACCCTTCGTGTGGCAGAGTAGAACTGTCCTCTGTAGGGTTTTCAGTGGCTGATTTTTCAGAAGTAGATTGCCAGGCCTGTTTTCTGAAGTGCCTCTAGTTGAACTCAAAACCTCCAACCACTCAGTTAGCAACTGAGTATGTTAACTGTGGAGTCGCTGCATGGTGCAAATCGTTAACATGCTTGGCTGCTGACAAAAAGGTTGGAGGTTGAGTTCCCCCAGAGGTGCCTCAGAAGGAAGGCCTGGTAATCTACTTACAAAATGTCAGCCAGGGACTTTTGACAACATGGCGCTCTAGGCAGAAGCACCATACCGTACCTACACAGCAAAGATCCAAAAAACTAAGCCAAACAAAGAAAATGGCAATCCTGAAACCCTAAGCATCAAATGAAGAGATAAAGAACTCAGCCAAGCACCAAATGGAGTGAGAAAATGACAGAGAACGGAGAGCGAGGAGAAATTCATGCAGAGGTCCCCTATCAGCTAACACAGCACGGATCCGCCATCTTGGACTCGTATCAGAGACAAGCGAACAGGTGGTATGAGAAAGCAGCTTCATGGAGCTCCCAGCAGGAGACAGAATAACCGGTGACCAGGGATATATGCTTTCCCACCCCCACCCTTCTTCACCCCCACTCAGCCTCCTCTGCTTCCCACGGCCACAGTCTCTTGGCTGGGAAGCACCAGCTCCTTGGATTCCACCCGCCTGCACTGGCTGACTCCCTGAATGCCATTTGTTGGCTGCTGGTGTTGCTTTTTTCTGCTTCTTTTGATTTCTTCCTTACCTCTCACCACCTCCCCCTCCTTTTCCTCAAATACCTGGTTCTGTATGCCATCTTTGCTTCTTCCTGAAAGGCTGTGAAACTCTGCTTGAATGTGAAACTGTTTCCCAGTCTGTGCTGCCACGCTGGTGGGATCCCAGGGCTTTTTTTGTTTGTTTGTTTTGAATTGTTTGTTTGTTTTCTTTTTCTTTTCTTGAATTGGGAGCCCATTCTAGCCGGGCAGTACTGCACAGCTTGGGACCTACCCCCTCAGCTTGCACAGACGTGCAGAGGGATCCCTGAGAGCATTTCTTTTTCCATGGTTTTTCTTTTCTTTTCTGTTTTTTTTGGGGTTTTTCTTGTTCTTTTTTAAAAATTTATTTTGTTTTCTTTTCCCTCTTTTCCCCTTTTTGTCTTTCTTCATTTCTTAGTTTCTTGTCTCTCTATACCTTCCTTCTCTTCCTGTCCCCTGAATACCTGGTGCTGAGTGACACCTCTACGCCTTCTACCCAGGCTGTACTTCAACACCTGGGAACAACTTCCCCAGACCTTGTAGCCGTACTGGTGGGATCCCTGGGAGCTTTTCTTTTTTCTTTGTAATTTTTATTTATTCATTATTTTCTTTTCTTTACTTTTTTCTTCTTCCTCCCCTTTTTGTTTTTCTCCATTTCACAGTCTCTCATCTCTCCACCCTAATGGCAAGCTCCGCTAGCAATCTTTTTTGTTTGTTTGTATGTTTTTGGCCTCTGTTCCTCTCTCCTCTCTCCCATACTCAGCTCCACACATTACAATCTCCTCCCTCCATCCTGCCTAACTGCACTGTGCGATTAACATCACACCACCAAGCAGCACCAAGCAGCCTACTGGAACCTGCCCTGCACTGATTACTGGCCTGCCCTGGTGGCTGTAGTAAGTGCCACAAACAACCCATCCCAGCAACTCCTCTTCAGCTAGACCTGCCCTGCTGGACCATACCTGAGCCACTGACCCTGCCAATTGGAGAAGGAAGTGAAAAGTATCATGCCCACAGAAGAGCAAACAATGAAGAACACACAGCCTGCCTGCTCAGACATAGCCAAGTTAAAAAACAAACAAACAAACAAACAAACAAAAAACAACAACAGGATGAAACAAACAAATCTACAATCAATAAATAAGAAAAATAACTACTGAATGCCCCAAAGACAGCAGATAGTATCAAAACATTTACAAAAACAGGACAGGATGGTGCCAATAGGCATCCAATATAAAACACCAGATGACTTTCTAGTGGAATAAAAGGCACTAGAACTACCAGATAGGGAATTCAAGTCTCTAATACTCAGAATTATCCAAGAGTTGAAGCAAAAAGCAGACAAAAATGAGGAGAAAATAGGCAAATCCATGGAAAAGGCAGACAAATTCATGGAAAATACAGACCAAAAAAAAGGAAGAATTCAGGAAAAGAATACAGGAACAAAATGCCAAAATAAATTCACAACTAGAAA